TCTGCCTCTGGAAATGGCAGCCTTTCTCTAGTGACTCCTGAAGCTGACTAGCCCACGCACGGCCAAAGCTTGAGGATCAACATAGTTACTATGACACCATCAACCTCTTTTCCTTTTTGTTATAATTTTCCCTCTGCCCGACAGAGAGCTAACCCCTCATAACCATATAAATAATAATGACAGGGATGGTCTCTATTAATAACTCATTTATAGAAAGCATCAAAGCGGGGAATAAAGCAGAACTTAGAAGAAAACAAGTTTTTTCCAGCCTTGGGCAGTTCCTCTCAACCTTGGATCACCACCCACCCACCCTGTAGCTGTAACTCCTTGTTCTGGAAAATTGGAAACTATGTTCTGTATACAAAGTTTATGACATCTTGTTCTCACAAGATTCACTTGGCTCTGCCTTCTTGCAAGGCTAAGTTATAAGGCTATCACCTCATGATTAATTGCTTCTGGCTTCTGTAATCTCATTTGCCCACCCCCACCCCCAGTTTTGCACCACTAGAAAAACCACCCCCTCAGCCACATGTATAAAAACTGGGACCTTTTGTTCAGGGCTCAGCCTTTAGACATTAGTCTGTCCAGTCCATGCACACCTAAAACCCTGAATAAATCCTCCTGTTTCTCCTGTGGTCTCTCCAGTCTCTTGAATTCTGCAAAAATAGGTTGGAATAAATTTCTGCTCACATTGTGAGCTGAGCCAAGGATGTCTCCAGGCCCTGAAATGAATTGACCACATCCTTTCGATAACCCTGAAGCAGTTTTGATTCCACTTTCCCCACTCCAAGAAGCTGACTGGTTTTCCCTGGGTGCTAGTGGAGGACATGTCCCCCTCTATCAGAGAGAAAGAGATTGACCATCCTCGGTAACATTAGAAGCCAGAGCATTGGTATTTTAGTCAAAGCCCAGCCCCAATTCCCAAGCGGTAACACAAAGGGAGCCTAGAGGGGCCTGAACACGTGTTGTGTTGTAGCACAGAAATCTGGGCATGGGGAATCTGGATCTTTTCTCTACTGGAGTCTATAGACAGTGAGCCTGCCAGAGCTTTGCCTTAGAGACACTATCTTGCTCATCATGGTCAGGAAACAAGAGTCCCTGTGCCACCTCTGTCCTCCAAGGCAATGCCCCCACAAACACCCTTGAGTGCTCATGTGGAAGCATGAACAGGAGAGGCCAGTGAAAAGCTGCCTCCCAAACCTCACAGCCCTTTAGCTAGGGAGGAAACAGCAGGTAGAGCAAGGAAGGAAGACACTCGATGCACTGATGTTACAAAGCACCGACAAGCAGCCCCTCAGGTCAGCCCATCACCTCACGTCTCAGTGTGGTGGGGCACAGGGGTTCTGTATGCTCATGTCTTTGGTTGGGTTTAAACAAGAACTCTTGATACTTTCTAACAGTCAAGCACTCTGGAAAATCTCATCTGGGAAACCATTTTATTTTTTATTTTTTTATTTTTTTGGTACCGGGGATTGAATTTGGGACCTTGCATTTGTGAGGCAGGTGCCAGAACCACTGAGCTAAATCCCCAGCCCTAGGGAAACCATTTTAAACAGCTAAGACAAACCACTGTAGAGAAAACAACTTTTTACAATCTGCCAACTAAAATAAGAACCCAGTTAAAATAAGAACACTTCCCTTACTTACATTTCAAAAGCTTTAGAGTAAGAAGCCTTCTACAAACAGGCCTCATGGAACTGTCCCTTACCATCCCTCTGCCCCACATACAGGAGGTGGAGACTGCTTCAACATCTCTATCCCGACCTTTGACAGGAGAAAGATGATCTGCAACACAGGTGTCCTTAACTTTTTACTTGAACAGAGAATGGTCAGAAACTAAAATCCCTACGTCAGTCTCCATCTGGAAATGTGATACACAGTAAAATACATTCCTATATATTCCCAAAGAGCTAGAGGCTATAAACTAACTCCACTGGTATTTCTGAGAAAGTTCAATATCCTACATATATCATTAACAGGCAAAATGACAGCAGGCTTGATTTTCACAAGTCACTCTTAAATGCTCTTCAGAAAACACAGAAGGCATGGCCTGGCCTCCTGCAGCCTGAGACTGACTTGCTACAGACCTGCACTGGCAGGCGACACTCATAGCAGATGCATTAGCGGGAGAAAAGGACCTGCTACTAATGGTTATCACTCACCCCAAGCCCCAATAACATACAAGAGTTTTAAAATAATACAAAAACTATTTTTATTATTTTTAAAAGCCAGCACAGTGGCTTTTGGCATAACTATCCATTTCTAATACAAAATTGGATTAAATAAATATCATCCAATGTATAAATAGACCATGAGACAATTCTGAAGATAAAAAGAGAACTCTTCTGTAAATTAAAAAATTAACTTTACATTTTCTTCAGTGGTGACTCAAGAACAATCACTATGGCATTTTAGAACTTGTCAAATATAATACAAATCTTGATTCAATACAAAAGTCTTCATGCTGTAGTGTTACATATAGAAAAAGATTAAATAGCAAAATCTTTTATGATTACTATCTATTGCTCCTGACATTTATACTAATGAATCTTTATTTTTTAGCGCTTTAAATATTTATTAGTCATCCATATAAAAATCTACTGCAGTGCCTCTGGGGAGGTGATAGGTGATATTGAGTGGGCTCATCTGTGCACGAGTGTGTGCAAGGAAGGGCAATAAATTCAGAGAGGATATGCAATGACTGAATCCCAGCCATGGCTCATGGGCCCTACCAAGACATAGAACATGTCACTGTCAGGGATTGCAGGGCTTCTGACCTTACAAGAATTCTGTTGCTTCAATTTTTAGACAACAAACCATATGCAACCAGATTTCAAAGTGATATTTTTCATTAGTATAAGGTAAAGATACAGGGGCCCAAAGCAAATACAAGACACTACAATAGGGGGCCCGGGATCTAGCTCGGTGGTTCTGCTGCCTGCCTTGCAAGCACAAGGATGGGAGTCCGATCCCCGGAACAAAAAAAAAAAGACACTACATTAGATTATGTGTGTAGGCTCTTTTGAAATTTCATTCTAAAAATTCCAAAGCATCTACATTATATGAACACATATTAAGTGTAAAAAGGGAATTCTAGATTCAAACGTATGGTTGCATAACCTCCTCTCTGCCGACTTCAAAATGCAACGGCTTAAGACGACACCAATGATCAACTCTTGGATTAACTCTTTTGGTAGAAGACAAGGCAGAGTAGGGACTATGAAATAAGCTTCAGGAGAAACAAAGTTAAAGAAGCAGGTATAAGGCATTCCTAGAAATAGGAACCAGAAAGCAGCTCTATTTATCTTGTGTATTTCCTTATAAAATGTGAGGCAAGTCTCCATGATGGTACTTTAATCTTAAAAGGTGAATTCTGATGAGCTATCTTTCTTGAAAGAGGGACGTCCACACAGGAAGAATGGAAATCTACTTTTTAACGTCTGTACTGGCACTGACACACATTTCACACACAAACACGCATCAGCGTACAGAGCAGAACACCAGCCAGTCTTTTGGGTTTTATTTTTTTGTTGTTGTTTTTGCAGTACCAGGGATAGAATTCAGGGCCTTTGAACTGAGCTATATCTCCAGTCCTTGTTTTATTTTGAGACTGGGTCTCACTGAGTCACTAAGTTGCCCAGGCTAGGCTCAAACTTGCAGTCCTCCAGCCTCAGTGGCCCAGAATGCTAGGATTACAGGTGTGCATCACCACAACCAGCTGTAATTTTAAAACTCAACATTTCTTTAGAAATGACAATGGAGGAAGGAGCACCGAAGGATGAAGTAGAGCCACATTCCCTAACAAGTGCGGCTCATCATGGAAACAACTGGCTAGTACAGCTGCGAGGGCTCACAGCAGCACTGTGGCAGAAAAGATTGGTTTCTGATGAACACTCCGGCAGCTGCAGGCAGCACTTGCCACCCAAGGGTCCTTCTTACACACGTGTCTCAGAGCCTCTGGTATAGAAAGGGCCTCAAGCAGAGCTTGCTGGGCCTGGGGAAGCATTTGAGTTTATCTCTTTGAAAGCATGTTTCTACTTCACTTTTTTAATTTATGTATTTACTTTTGGATTTTTGAGACAAGGTCTCACTATTTAGTTCAGTCTGGGCCTGAACTATGTAGTCCAGGCTGGCCTCAAATTCATATGATCCTTCTGCCTCAGCCTATGTGCTGGGATTACAGGCAAGTACTACCATGCCCAGTCTCATGTTTCTATTTTAATCTAACATCCTTCTATATATTTTGCTCACACTAGATTCCTCCTGTTATGTCATCTTTACTTTTACATTTAGCATCCTTGGAAAGGTAATTTCTGCTTTCAGTTTATTTAAGTACCGAAGAGTTCCTTTACCATGAACTTGGGTTAAAGATAGTTATGAACTTTCAAACAGAAACTAAATCCTCAGTGTGATGGTTGCTGAGAACAACTGAAAACAGGGGTGGCACTTGTACAGGGCCATGCCAATACACAGGACTTGCTGTAAGGAGCCAACCCTGAATATTAGCAAAGCCCTCAGACAAACATTGCAAGAGTGAATTTTCATTGTCTAGAATTCAGAGGCAAAGGAAAATGTCATTAAAATTCTTCTGTTAGAAATATCTAAACTTGAAATTAATTCACATGTCAAAGTATTTTATCTTAAATATTTCAAAGGAAAAGAACCTCCGATATTTCTAATGTCAGTTTACATATATAGTTATTCCAAAGCAGATATGGTATGGTGAGACAGTTCTAAAAATACAACTCTCTACCCTCAAAACTCTGGTTACTCATGAGGCTAAAAATTTCTTTCCTAAAACAATTTTTTAATCAACTAGTAAAGTACAAAGATCAATCTTGTAAACCACAAAGATTCAAGTGAAATGATGTCTTTTCAAACACCTTATATTTCCAAGGAATGTTTTTGCAAAGAAGCAGCTTTTATGACTAGGAAGTAAATTCGAATAATACACAAATGTCTTCTGTTTGCCTGCTAATAAATTGAGAAAAGACACAAAATGGATTATTGATAGATTTTTTTCTTTAAGCAAAATAAAAGTAGGCTTCGGGTTCACCAGTTAAGGCCTTACTTAAACAACAATTAACCAGTACAGTCACTAAACTATGTTCTCTATACAATTAAGAATTTAACACCCCTTTTTAGAGATGTCCTGAGATGACATTTAATGCTAAAAGCAAAATAAATAACCCAGCAAGAACAGAAATTTAAAATTCCAATAATTTCAACTTTGGGGATATCTGTTCACTAAAATTAACATTTCTAAAATATTTTAATACAAAACTATAAAAGAAAAAGTGCGTTAAAAGCAGAGCCTTTAAAACTCTTGCACAATTACAATTATTCTGAAAATACTACCACAGCCAGGTGAACACACTGACATTCAGGGAGTGTCAGGATTTATAATGAGTCCAGTATCACAAGAAGTCAAATAAGGCTTTTCTTTTCTTAAAAAAATATACAATACACAAAGTAGTTTGGAAAAAGGTAATATTATTTAACAATTTTCTGACTTAAATATTTTCACATAACAAAAGTTTTCATGTCACTGCCAATGTTACTTGTATACAAATGCCAAAAGTGAAAAACAACAAAATCAAAAGATGACTTTTCAAAATAACAGTGAAATGTCTCTTTCTTTAGGAATCTGAAATGAGCTTCTCTTTTAACATACAAAGTTCATACAATATTTATAATAAAACTACTCTCTTCTGAAACCAAGGAGGCAAAGAGAGAAAATAAAGGCAATTATTTTTCAGAAAAAAAAAAATAAAACCCAGCTCTATGTTACAGTGAAAAAGATACCCATTTATTAATAAAATGAACACAATACCGATCTTAAGTGCTCATCGGTAAGTGAGCCTCGGATGCGTTCTCTGAGATGGGGACTAGTGTTTCTATTTACAAAATATACTGTTCAGCCACACAGAGGCCCATATATTTGTCTATGTACATTTGTATTTATATATAGAACATATAAATAATTTCAAAGGAAAATTAACATGAAGTAGAGAACCTTCCATCTTTGGAATGCTGCAGGAATGACGTGTGCACTTTGCCCCAGCACAGGTGGGATTTGGTTTGGGACGTGTCTAATGTGGCACCACTGATGACACTAAAGAATTCCCTGAAATAAAAAACACATCTCTTTATGCATGAAGAGGAAATCATGGGGTTTTTATAGGTTCTTAACTTTAAACTACAAGTAAACTTATTTACTGAGGTGGACAGGGACAGCACTTGCTCCCAGGAGGCGATTCTGCCATTTTCTCCTTGCAGCCTATGCCTTGTGCTTCCGCAGGGATCTGACTCACATGACCAATCAGACTCATGCAGCAAGTGTGTCACCATCCTGTGCAGACAGCTGGTCCTCACTTGGGGGTTGTTTCCTCAATTCCCCCTGCTGGCACCCCAGGTCCTGCATTCTAACTAGGGATTAATGAAGAGAGAATTGGTCCAGCCATCTCTCAAGGTATTACTTATATTCATTTAGGGTAGGCTAAAAAGTCAATTGCTACTAATTTTCAAAATGCACAGAGTAAAAAGTGAAAAAACTTCCCTGTATGTTAGGACATTTTTTTTATGAACTTCATGCACCTATCTTGTGTTTGTTTTGTAAGCAATGCTTCTTATAACAGAAAGCATGAGGGAAAATCTTACATATTTTGTTCATGTTAACTTTTGTCTTTGCTAATACAAAGAAATCACACTACAATAATAGTAAGATCCAGTTAATTTCTTTTTAACTAGATCCACTGGCCATGGAGAAGATGAAACTGACTATTGTAGTACCTGAGTTCAGTGATTTGTAGACAAATGAGAACAATGTGGTTACATTTTTTCCTAGTTTTTTTTGCTATAAGTCTCTGAAAGACAATGATTCTTTAGATAATTTTATAGCTAAAAAATATTGTGGTACATTTTTAATACTCGAAGCTTTAAAATAGAAATTGTGAGTGCTCTGTTCTTTGCCAGCATTGCTCCAGAAGCACCTGGAGGTGGCCTCGCCGCCTCAGAACACATTGGGGAGGGTCTGCCACTCCCCCGAAGCCTCCTGCACCACCTCCTCCAGGTGCAGTGTCCGCAGCTCCTCTCCATCCTGCTCCTGAGGAACAGTGGCTGCTTGCAAGGTTCCTGCAAGGTGACAAAGAGAAGGAGGCCTCAGACCTTTAGTAACAGGATGGGATTCACATTTAAGTAGAGACTACCTGGGAAACACAGACAAGAAACCTCTAACTTGGTCTCCTTTCTGTCCTAGTGAAAAAAAAAAAGAGCCATTTCTGTTAGTGACAGTCTCTGTGATGTGTGTGTAGAGTGCTTGGTACAGGCAGCCAAGCCCATAAAGGCTATGTAAATATAGAGCCAAATGATGAACACCACCACCCATGACTTTTCTAATAGAGAAGAAAACAGGAAGCCCTGCAGCAGTGACGGCAAACCTGTTAGAGCTTTCAATGATACACGATAAAGAGAAAAATGATCTTTCTTTCCTTCCTCAAAAAGTCCCCACAATATGAGGTGTGCTATTCCTCTAGATGTGACCCCGTTGGATACATAAAGGCCTAACTTCATTCACAGAGCACACCATCTCAAACAACTAAATAACATTGAAAAACACACTTGTGAAATTCACTGATCACAGCAGGGGCTCTATCTACTGTGATAGAATACTTCACACTCCTTCTTTGCATGGCTCCTGCTACCACAGTAGCCTCCTCCAGTTTACTTACTATCATTCCTTTGTTTAATAAAGACACTACTGCTAGAGTGAGAAACAAAGAGCAACACAAGGGAGACAGGTAGCAGGTCACACCCTGACATCCATGCTTCAGTGACATCAATGTTAGTAGATCATAAAGAGAAATGGAGGCCCATATGTGGCCTGTGCTGAGGAGAAAAAATGCAGGTTAGAGTACTTGCCCAGAGTCTGCAGATCCCCCTACCCCAACACAGATGCCAGACTGGCCCTGTGCCCTGCAGATCCTCCCTGTTGCTATGCAGATGCCAGGCCAGCCCTGACCCTTGTAGCTCCTACCTGCTTTCATGCAGACATCAGGCTGACCCTGACCCCTGGGCACTAAAACAGCTCCTGACCTATACCCTGCTGAGAAAGACTCCAGGATGTGTGAAGACATATGTGGAAATGCTTCTTGGGTTGCCTAGGCACAGACTGCTCACCACAGAAAGCTCTAGTGAGAAACAAGCTACTTAAGACATTGTGTTTGCCGAGGTTCTGAGTGGTCACCTTACTTCCAGTATATTCCTGTCACCTTGTCAAAATAAACCAGAAACTTAATATCCCCAAATTCTGTTTGTGCACATGTGTGTGAGAGGCAGTGTACATGCAGTTGTACCTCAAAGACAAGGACATGATTTTGCCATCACAGGTTCATGGCCAGTGTGCTTACATGAGCTAAGGTGGCTAAGATGTACCAGGTGATAGGATCTTATGAGACCACTGTCATACACACTGCCAGTCATTGCCTGAAGTGTCATTAGGTAGTGCGGGACTGTACTCACACTAAATCAACAAAGCATGGGCTTCCAAGCCTGCTCTACCCCTTCCTGACTACACCACTCAGAGCCTCTCCAAACCAGGCTTTCTTCTTCCCGTAAACTGAGGCTGTACCACATACAATGCGTGACTGTTATCTGACTGCTATCTGAACACACAGGAGACACTGGGAGTGTCCTAGGCCATCTAAGAGCATGACCTCTCACCGACAAAGCTGTGCGCTCGCTTCATGTGCAGCTTCATGTTGCTCTTCTGTGTGAAGCCCATGACACAGTAGTCACACTTGTAGGGCCTCTCCCCCGTGTGCTTCTTCATATGTACCTGCAGCGCGCTCTTCTGATTAAAGGCCTTCTCACAGAGCGTGCAGTGGAATGGCCGCTCCCCTGTGCAAGAAAAGCAACACACCTGTGTCACTCATAAGACCACATTTGACAGCACATGTGAAAAATGTTCACTCTGAAGAAGTTTGCAATTCTTAGAAAGATCACAGTGATTTTCTTCCTGCTGCTGTTACTCACACTGATAATTAACAGGATTCTGGCAAAGCCACTCCATGCTGAGACACAAAATAAAACTTTTATCAAAAGTTACTGAGAGGCACAGAAGCAATTAGAAATGAAAGTTGAACATATATGGTTTAAACAAAAATGTTTCTAACACATTTCATATAGTAACAAAAACAAAGTACATAAGACTATCAAATCCACTGAATTAAAAATATGACTCAGTACTTTTTAAAGTGGTATTTAATTGCTTTGAAGGTAACATAGATATTGAACAGTGGAAGGAAGAGCTGCCAAGTTTGGTGCCTGCTGGGAGGTGCACAGGTGAATGTCACTGTACACACCAGACACTGGATCTCACAGAGGCCTAGCGGGGTCTCAACAGTCCTGCATCCCTGGAGACCTGCTTCCCACTCACCCACCTTTCAGCCCCCTGAGGTGGCACAGCATCTCCCTCCCCTTTGCCTACAAGGTTTCTCCCATTTGTTCTACAGGATGGCCTGCTCATGGTGCAGATGGGCCTCACACTGTGCCCTGAAGGGCCCTTGCTGTGTCTCACAGTTCTGATAATGTGGTGCTGGGTCTGGTTTTCTTTCTCTTCAGTGGTCATGCAAATCAGGTTTTACCTTAGCATCCCAAGGTGGGCAGACATCTAAAGATGGCCCAAGCCTTCTGTGGGTCCTAAGGATTGTGGATGCAAGCATTTCATGCCTCTGACTGTACTAGCTACTAGCTACAAAGGGAGACAGATGATGTAAGGTCATTCATCAGTTGCCTTGGAGTAAGAAGCAAGGTCAGCAGGGGGCCTATGTTGTGGGAAACCAGGTGTAAAGACCAAGGCCTAGGTTGAACTCTCCTTGAGACACAGGAGAGGAGATAGCAAGCCATCCCCCTACCTTGGGCTAGCACACCAGCGCCAGCCACTTTCAAGGAGAAAATCTACTACAGCTGAAGTCTGATTAAAGAAAACATACATTCAGGTGCAGTTTATAAATTATGAGAAACCTTATAAACTTTCCCTGAACCCTGGCTCACATGCTTGGTTGCTTCTTCTTTGGGTGAGTCTAATCAAAGTAAGGAGCATTATCAGATCAGGGCTTTGTCCACTAGAGGCAAAAGTCCCCTGGTCCTCCTCTTCTAAATTATCTTTGTCTTTTTTCTTTAATCCTCATTCACCCCCCGGGTCAGGATACGTTCGTAGGGTGGTTCCTACATTATATAATCACATAGCCCTTAAAAGCAGTGTCTCTGGCTGGGGGCAGTCCACAATTATAAGGGGTTCTACTAACACCCTGGATGAGCCTGGAAGTCCTCTCCAGAGCATCCAGGCAAAGGGCCAAGGTTATCTCCAACCTGTGAGACCCTGAGCAGAGACCCACCAGACCCACTTGCACTGCTGACCCAAATGCTGTGACATAGCCAAGGAGGCTGTTTGAAGTGGCTGAATCTTTTATGGAACAAGAGAAAACTAATCTTACTCCTACCCCTTGCATCTTTTAATATCTCAGCCAATTTGGTATGATATAAAACACAGGTCTAAAATGTTTCCAGATTACTCTGAGGTTAGGCAGTCTGTTAGATAAGCAAGAGAGGCTGTAGGGGAGAAGCCTACTTCCAGCCCAGGATGCTGGTCTAAATGCCTGAGAGCAAGAGAGCAGGACCAGAGCTTCACAGGAGGGACAGCACTATGGGCTGGCTCATCAGCTGGGTGCCACATTTCCATGCCTTCAGGCCAAGTGTGCAGGAAGGAGGACTCAATGACCTCACAGAGGAAGACAGTCCCTAGCTAGTAGTTCCCCCCAAAATGAGAACATGACAAATTGCTTATCACCAAGGAATATTAGATGGTGTTAGATATTTACTAATTAAAAACAGGCTATCAAGTGGAATGTTTTCATATCAAAACATCTTTTAAAATATTGCTCAAGCTTTAACATCAGTTCTTATGATCCATATAACTATAGAGATATATGTCAGGTTTTACTGGCATATCATCTTAATTACAAAAAAATGGAAAAGCTCAAACAGAAATATGAAAAAGTTTAAAATATCAAATTAAACTATTTAAATATTTAATGGTCCACAGTTTCATTAGCAGTGAATACTAAAGAAAGTGGAATGGAAGGGTCGCATTAAAGCCAGAGACACATATCATTAAACCACTAAGTGTTAAATATATTACAGAAATATTTAACGAAGAACACAAACAGGCCCTGCGATTGATGTTAAAATGCCAAATCTAGATAAATACTGATGCATGGCACTCTTATTTTACACTGAGCTGCTCATCTCTGGGTAAGGTTGAAGGTCACAGTTCATTTCCTAAGATCTTCATTCTGGTCTATAAAGGCATTTGTGGTACTATTCATCTCTGTGCTAACGTACATGCTAACAAGTATTCAGTGATATTCTCCAAGCCCTTCACAATGCACGCTTTATTTTAAAGACAAGAGGTAATTTATTTTTCTTCGTTTTTGAATAAATGTGTTACAAAATTACAACATGGACATTTGTTTTTCTTTCAGAAAGTACACACTGTCACCTGGTGGGTGCCAGGATCTGAGCCAACACTCAAGGCCATAGCCTAGAACAAGGGCCCTGGACGCCTCGTGCTCAGTCTGCAGGTCAGGAGAGGCCGCACAGGAGGTCCTGTATTGCAAAGGGACAAAGGGAGTTACAGAAGTCTCCTGGGGAGAGAGAGCTCTGCAAGCTGACCTGAAACTGAATTGTAAAGACTCAGGAGGAAGGGCTGAGAGATCAACTGCAGGCAGAGACAGTGTTCCCTTAAGAGGTAGGAACCCAGCAAGGGGTGAGTCAAGAACTCCAGGAGGGAAGAGCTATAGCTCAGGATAGCCTGGTGGGGATACAGGAAGGTACTGAGCTCCCCCAAAGGGTGAAGGGGATGATACGCTCAGATTTGTGTCACATGGTCTCCCAGTCTGGTTGTCCTCTGAACAGGGACAGGGAGGTCTTACTGATGCCTTCAGCAGAGGAGGCAGAGGGACAAGGCAATGCACAGCTCTTGGTAGAAGTAGCCAGCAGGACCCATGGTCCTGGGAACACATCTGGGACAACTATTTAAGCAGAGTAGAGAAAAGGGCCAAGACTCAGGAGGGCTTGTTTATTTGCTTTGTTTTTTCCTCTAGAAGAAAAAGCTTGAGCAGATATAGGCAGTGATAAGAGCAGGAGAGAAGAAGTCTGCTGATAGTAGAGAAAGAGAAGAGCAGGCAGGCCTGGGGGGCTGGGGAGTTGATTCCCCATGGTCATAATGCAAATAGCAAAGTCTCTACTTGAAAAACTAGATAATAAATTGATCCAAAATTAGGGCAGCCTCCTGTCTGAACTTAGCAACTCAGACCTTGTCTCAAAATAAAAAACACAAAGGGCTGGCGATGTAGCTGAATATGAAGGACTGGGTGTAATCCCCAATATTACCAAACAAACAAACAAACAAATTAGGGGGAAATAGAACTCACAGACCTTTGAAAATAATACATTCTACTGCACATGGGTATTTACAGGTTGACTCCTATTTTGCCATCAATGAAGTCCACTTCAAAGAGCAGTAAGATAAAAGCACATCACATCTTATTACCTGTGTGAATGCGGCTGTGTCGCTCCAGCTGGCTTGGTTTGGCAAATGCCTTTTCGCAAGTATCACATTTGAACACTCTTGGCTTCTGAGAGCTTAAGGAAGGGCCAGCTTGGTGTGTCAGCATGTGCTCCTGGCAGAATACACAGAAACCAAGTACATATTAGAGTATAACAGAACTTATTAAAACACCAAAGGAAAAACAAATCACCCTGAAAACCCACGTCAGCGGCCAGGGTCTCCCAAAGGCTCATCTCTGACTATGTTTTCAAAGACAAGAGTCCAGGAGCAGTAACACCAGGCTTTCAAGGAGACCGAGGCTCTGACCTAATACAATTTCAAAAAGGCAGGAACTTCTCCTCTTTAGTGTAGTGTAGGCTAAAGGAGACCACAGATCATGAGTCCAATGAGAGAGCCCCCAAAGCCACTCTGCTTCCCCTCATTACACACAAATCTACCTGGACGTCCCAGCCCACAGCTAGTTCTGCAGAGGTCTGCAGATCCAGGACCATCATCAAAACATCTGCAACTCAGGTGGGTTCTTCCAGTTAAAGGACTACTGCTTCACAAGGAACTCCTAATCTTCTACAGCCATGATGTCATTCTGCACTGTGAGTGTTCTGTGATTATCGGTTTGTCAGGAACCCTGGATTTGTGTGACTGAAGTTTTTCTCAGAGATCTGACAGCTGCCATGCCACAGGCTTCTGAGCATACCCATGGTTATTTTCCCATGTTTTTTTACAAGGTGCCTAATTATTCTGGTAGAGTGGTCTTTAGGGTATGCTCTTCCCTTAAAGCAGAGCTCAAAGGAAAGAGAACCTCTGTGGAGTACTTCCACTGTGAGCCTCATGTCACAGCTTTATGCCCTCCACTCCTCAGTGCCCAGCAGAGCCTATGAGGTTTGTCATACACAAGGGGAGGTAGAAAACTCAACTCCAGAGGTCAGGGAGCTTCCCCACATCACAGACACAGACTGCCTCAGAGGAGGTGCTTTAAGCCAGTACAGTAACCGTAACGCCCCTGCACCATGCCTATCTGTAAACAACTGGAACTTACCTTTCCTTGGTTTCTGCCCTCTCAGTTTGTGTCATGCTTAGTATAATGACATACAACTCCAGCTTTCTGAGGATGGAGCCATTTGCTTTTGGGGACATGTTCTTTGCACACAGTAGGCACTCAACATCTACCAAATGAAAGGAATGCTGAGGTGGTATATGGGGAACAGGCTATTCACTGGTCAGGATGGATTCTTTTATAAATCTACAGTCTGTCTCCAGAGGAGGAAAGTTTGTATAGCACTGTGGAACATCGTCACTTTAAGCTGATAGCTTTAAAGAAACACTTATGAGCTGCATTTCTCTCAGAAGAACAGTAAGACCTTGCTTGGCTGGATGTGGGTGACTAGTTGAAATGAGACAGGATTCCTTCAAGACAGGGAGAGAAGAAAAAATATAAGGAAAGATCAAGGCTCCATGGTGCCTGGGCACCTGAGGTCTCCATAGAGGCACAAGGAGGGGCTGCAGCCAAGTTCCAGATGAGGCCAGCAACAGCACCAGCGCACAATACACCCAACACCACTATCTCTATTCCACACTCATAAAAAAGCACATGGATGGCAAGGATCCAAGTATTCCAGTTCCTCAGAAAGGAACTGCTCATTCATATAGAACTCTTCTTTCTTCTAGTTCCACAGTCATTAAAAACTGACAAACACAATGAGTACATACACTAAAACAAGCACCCTTACCCTTGCCACCAACCCCAAGGGTCCACATGTATACATGTCCTCTCAGAGCAGTGTCTCACTTGACTAAGAGGGCTCTCTGCCCTGCTGGCCAGCCCACCAACCCACCTGCCCACCTGCTCAGTGGCCTGGGCAGCAGCCACTGTAGAGAGAGCACCATGGGGGCTGTGCCTACAGGCTGCACGCACACACTTCCTCTTTTCTGCATACTGGCTGTGTAGTCATGTCTTCCCGTGCACAGAACTGATTTTTACTGACAGACTGTTTAGGGATAGTTTGAATTTACAGAAGAACTGAGCAGAGAGTATACAGTACCATATAGCCACCTCTCACACATTCCTGGGTTCCCCTATCATTAATACTTTATATTAGTATGGGATGTTTGTTATCAATACATTAATAACTAAAGTCTATACTTGATTCTCTTTTCACTAGTTTTTTCCTAAAGTTCATTTTCTGACACACACATTTGGTCATCATGGCTCCCGGGGCTCCTCCTGGTTGCTTCTGTTTCTTGTTTTTGATGATCTTGATGGTTTTGAGGGGGATCAGGTATTTTGCAGGATGTCTCTCAGCTGGGAACTGTGTGATGTTTGTCTCACTATGTGGTGGAGATTAGGGGGTTTGGGAAGGGAGAGTGCCACATAGCCAGGTCATACACGATGTGATTGGTAACTGTAGAAAATGACCTGGACTGCCTGCTGCAGTAGCACTTCCCAAGCTTCAACCCAGCTCTACCCTTTTCCTCAATGTTCCCTTGTAAAGAAGGGCCCTGGGCTGGACATCACGGGGCCTCATCTGAATGGCTATCCAGAGATCTTCCTCATCACTTCCCACTTCACTCAGGGCCTTCCTCAGGGATGTCCATCCTTCATTCTGTCATGTCTCATGGAAGCCACACAGGTAAAGAACCTGTGTGTACACACTGTGAAGTTACAGAGGCACCTGAGGGTTAGTTGCCCAGCTAAGCACAAACGTGTTCTGTAGATTTCAACTCATTCCCCTATGAGAAGTCCTATTGGGCCATAGTCACCAGCAATCATGAGTGTCTGTTTCCTCCTAAGCTCAACAATGTGTGCTGATAGCTTTATACATTTCCCTCAGCCGGACAGGTGAGAAATGATGTTCCAATATTATTTTAATCTGCATTAAAAACTGATTTTGAATTGCACATGAATATGTATCTACCCAATTGCACACCACAACAGACCATTACTAAACAACCGGGTACACACATTTACATTACTAACCTCTTTGTCAGGACAAAACAGGGTCTTTTATTTACACTACCAGGACCCATGGGTGCTGTCCCATAGAAGTGTACCTTGAGGTGTGTGGCACGCTTGAAGGCCTTCCTGCAGATGCGGCAGCCATGGATGCGCTCCTTCCCGTGCACCTCCTTGCTGTGGTGCATCAGCACTGCAGCTGATGAGAAGGTGCGGTCACACTCCAGGCACTGGTGCGCGGGGCATTCCTTCTCAGGCTGGTCGCCAGGGGCCAGGTGGGCAGAGACATCAGTCACCTGGTGTAAGTCATGAGTTCTGTGATTACTAGACTAGTAGGATCTCTAAATTGATAGACAAGTGAGACAGGAACAGGTGCACACCTAACACAGGTGCAGCTATCAACTCCAGGCATTCTTCCACCTTAGCAAAGACACCAAGGACATCAACATTCTATAAGAGACCAGAATGTACACTGATGCCTTGGGATTCTTGAAATCTACTGTGTACTGGCTAAGCAAAACTCAGACAAGAGAACAGGGTTAGTGAGTATGCTCTGGAGCCACACAGACCAGGTACACATTCACTCCAACACTACCTTCTTGGACACTTTGGGCTGACTACTTAGCCCTTCTGTGCTTATTTTCTCAGTGAAGAAGCAATGACAGGGAGAATAACAATGCCTACCTATCAGGGTAGTGAAGACAAATCCAGATACATGTAAGGTACATATGCTGAGAACACATCTGATACACAGCACACATTCAACAGATGCTGATCAGGAGAAGTAGTTTTAGACTGGAGTAGTATCAATAATATTGCTTCAAAAATGCTGTTGCTTTGGCAGAAGATCTTTCTCAGCAAAATGCAGTATAAATACTCCATAACAGCAGTGTTTTTAGCTGTGATTGAACTAAAGCATTTCTCCCAAACTGTGGATCCCAACCAATCAGCAGGTTTTCTAATCATTTTAATGGGATGCTACCATCACTTAAAAAAATAATAAAGTACAAAAGGTTTATTACTTAGCTTATAAAAACAAGAGACTTCAGCTTTGTGGGTGTAAGTATATGATGATTTAATGAAACAATTATAAAGAAAATTTATGAGAAATATTTTTATTCCTAGTTATCATATACTATTTCATAACACCAGAACACGAAGAAGTGGTTAAACTTTGAAGAAATATTTAGTAATGACTTCTACAGGGTGTTCTTGTGTTATTAATTTTGCTATAATAACAAAATAAAGAGGATGATGGGGGAAAAAGGAATAAAACAGAAAAGCTCAGAAGAGAAAAGACACTCTAAATATGTGTCACACCACAGAGCAAGTGCTTTTTTTTTGTTTGTGGTACTGGGGATTAAACCTAGGATCTTTGTATGAAGCTATTTCCCTAGCACCCTCTTTCCTTTTTTTAATTTTAAATTTTAGGTCAAGGTTTTGCTATGTCACTGTTATGGTTTGGGTCTAGATGTTCCCCCAAAGCCTCATGCTGGCATAGGTGGCTGAATCTAGTGTGTGCTGTTGGGATTAAGGGTGTATGATTACTAAATCAGTACACTGACTGGTTTGGCACCACCTTAATCCTGGTAGCCTGGATACAATATAAAGGACAGAAAGAGGCTTGTCTTCTCCCTCGTTGCTTTTGCTGTCTTCCACCACCATGAATTGTTGCCTCCTTGCCATGTGCCACCCTGCCTTGGAGCTAGCCAATTATGGACTGAAACCTCTACAAACTGTGAACTAAATAAACCTTTCTCCTTTAACTTTGGGTGTTGGTTATTTTGTCTCAGCAACAAGAGATAAGTAACTGACACAATCACTAAGTTGCTCAGCTTGGGCTCAAACCTGAGATCCTCCTGAGTCAGCTTCCCAGAGCACTGGGATGACAGATGGTGCCCCTATAACTGGCTAACATGTGTGCTGCCTGTGTGTCTACATATAACTGTGTATGAAAATACCCAACAAAAACACATGTGGCACTAAGGTCATTGCAAAAAATGTGTTGCTTGGGAGTCAAAAAAAAATTGAAAATCCCTGGAAAAGTGAAAAATCCAAAACCACCCTACAAATGCAAATAAAAAAACTATGTGATTAAAAAGAAAGAGTAAGCAATGAACATTAACTAAAACAAAACCTTTAGTTAACAGTGCTGCCTAACAGTCTCCACTTGAAATATGGAGTTATAATAGTTGAAGAGGTATAGTTTTATTATAGTTATAATGATTGAAATACAGAATAACTTCCTGAATCAAACACTTCACTCATGAGAAATCAATAATATACTACTTCATTCAAAGACAAACTAAACTTTGAAAAGTACTGCAAAATAACTGTTAGCGTAACCAAGAATCAGTAGACCATCACATCAGAAACACTTCTAAGTCACGTTTCTACAACTACCGTGAAGCAAATCATCAGTGCTCTCCTGATTTTCACAACTGTGTACATGAAAATCAGAACACAGAGTGAATTCAATTTTAGCAGAAAATTGCTGAAAGCATACTTGCCAAAATGAGAGGGGAAATATGTGACAGAGTGAATGTAATGTGTTTTTTAAGCTCCTGAGTGAGATATACACTCTGCCACCCTGCTGACCCCAAATCTCCCTCCAACAGCCTAACCTCTCACTGAGAGGGTCCCACTGAAGACCAGCTGATTCCAATTAACAGGAAACTCAGCCTAAAGACCTAGACCTGCATTCTGTGCGGAGTAAGATAGACCTGGGTTCACAGGTAGCCCTAGCTCTGACCAGTGCACCTTTGTCGTGCAAAGCTATCCTTGCATCACAGTTCCCTATTTCCTGGGGAAAATGTAGCAGTGAGGCTTGGACATGTCACAGGTTTGAAGTGATGTCCACGCTAAATAATACATACCAAGTGCCCAGGAAAGAGTCAGCCTCAGGCATATGGCAGCAAGTGTCTGCTCTTTTCCTGCAGAAAAATTAATTTCAAAAAAGGGTAATGTGCCTTCAAGCAGTGTGTGAAAAAATGAGAGGGGAAATATGTGACAGAGTGAATGTAATGTGGCCCAACTGCCAGAAGATAGGGTTTTGCTGGATAAAGTCTCCTTGATTCACTAGCTTAGCTTCAAAGTGTCGGCCCTATATGTATGGTCTCTGGATCCTCCCAGGAACAGACAGACAGAAAGCAGCTACTTTGATTTTGTAAAGACAGGCTAGTAAGAAGGCAGTCTATCTACAGCTCCTGTGCTAGAGGCAATTTTACACTGGGAGTATACATACTGTCATCTCAGTACAGATTTTCTTTTCTTTTCTTTTCTTTTTTTTTTTCCAGTACTGGGGACTGAACCCAGGGAATGCAGAGCTATATCCCCAGCCCCTTTTATATTTTCTTTTGAGACATGGTCTTACTAAGTTGCCCAGGCTGGCCATGAACTTGTGATCCTCCAGTCTCATCCTCCAGGGTAGCTGGAATTACAGGCATGCACGACTATGCCAGGCTCAGTATGGATTTCTCTTCACATAAAGCATGAAGAAAAAACATTTTAAAAGCCAAGCCAAGCCAAGCATTTGGCTCCAGGGGCTTGACTAGAGGTCAGGTGGGCCCCATGTGTAAAAACCATGACAGCAGCATTCGCAGCTGCCATCAGCTGAAACCACTCTGTTCTAGAGCCTGTGCTCAAGACCAAGGCGCGTCACACATCCGATCTCTCTTACCTACTCACATGTTAGTTCAAAAATGATCAGTTTTATTTATTTTTTGGATTTTTTTTTTCTATACCAGGGATCGAACTTAGGACATTGGACTTGTGAGGCTGGCACGGCGCTGAGCTAAATCCCCAGCCTATTTTTTGGGTTTTTGAGACAGGGTCTCACTATGTAGTTCAGGCTGGGAACCCAGTAGTTCACACTGTGCAACCCAGGATGGCCTCAAACTCACATTGATCTTCCTGCCTCAGCCTTCCAAGTACTAGCATTACAGGAATGTGCGACCGCGCCTGGCTAATGATCTGTTTTAAAAATGGGACTTCATACAGATTAGGACTGCCTGCAGTCCCCTAGCAACAAAGTATAGGAGCAGGGATGTATACACATGGGGCCAGAAGGCAGGTCCAGAGCTCTGACCATCTCCACAATGGGTTCAGATAAACCCACCTGTGCCCTGCCAAAGGCATGAGCACAGGCAAAGCCAGGTAGGTGTCGGAAGGCCTGAGCCAGGGTCATACACACCTGCACGCATTAGGAGAGCACCAGGGCTAAATCAGACAGTGATTAAAACCAACTGATGCTGACAAGCAGTGCTGTGCCCTGATAGGTGAAATTTAGAGAAAATGCTAAGAGGATATTCTTGTTAGATTGCTCACTGATGCTAATTCATTATGTGCTTCACTTTGATATTAACATTTTCATTTTTACTCTTTTTTTTTTTTTTTTTGGTACCGGGGATTGAACTCGGGTCCTTGTGCTTGCACAGCAGGTGATGAAACCACTAAGCTAAATCCCTGGCCCATTTTAATTTTTGGGAAAAAAGTCACAAGCTAGACCAAATTTCAATATTTACTACATTACCACATACTACTCAAATGGACACTTTAATGAGAAAATTTCAAATTAATTTTAATACAAGAATACTCTATAAAATCACTGTAACTATATTAAATTGAATACTGGAAAAAAATCATAAAAAATAACTAGTTTTGTTTACTTGCCACATTAATATAGGAATTGGGTAAGATGCACAACTTATGAGACTAATGAGATCTCACTACAAAAAGTATGACAAGGAGAGATTAAAGATGGTGAAATAATGATGAAGTCAATGGTTTTTCTGTTTGGCAATCAGGGAGTTTGAAATATAGCTAACTCACCAGGCTTGGAGGGTCTCAAACTGTACATGCTAATTGAAGGGCTACCCTTGACCAGCTTCTGGAACATAACTTATAAGCCCTTGCTACAGGCTCACAAAAATAGTGTGTGTGTGTGTGTGTGTGTGTGTGTATGTTGCTGGGGATGGAATTCAGGGCTTCACACATACTAGGCAAGTGCTTTATTACTGAGCTACAGTTCCAGTCTAAGAGTGTATTTCATACCCTGCCCTTGGGCCATGTGCAATAGTTTACGTTAACAATGTGATTTATAGAGGATGGCTGGCTTTAACCTGGGGTCAGGGGTGAACATTGGGTAGCTAGGCCAGCCACAAATACTCCATGCTTATCACTGACCACCACCATCTGTGCTAATATACATATATTTTTAAAATGACACAACAGCAGACACTAAACACTAAGAACTGAGCACAGACGTCTGCATATTTGACCCCAGGTGAAAAACCACTGCCTCAACTCTTAAGCAAAGTCTTCATTTCCTCTTACTAGTTTGTTAGATTTTAGAAGTTCAGAAGTATTATCATTGTAGGGGCCGGGGATTTAGCTCAGTGGTTCCGCTGGCTGCCTCCCAAGCACAAGGTCCCAAGTTCCATCCCTGGTACCAAAAAAATATATATATATATCATCTTGGGCTAGGGATTTAGCTCAGTGGCACCACTCCTGACTTGCAAGCATAAGGTCCTGAGTTTGATCTCCGGTACCAAAAAAAAAAAATCTTATTGAAGAATTACCCAAATGTGTGCTCAAAGCAGTAGCACTGTGGTTTGATTCCCTACAAGCAAATTATGTTTTTCTCTGTGTCTTATGCCTCAATTTACCCAACTGTAACAATACATACAAGGCTAACATGAGACCTAAATAAAAATGTGGTTAGAAGTGTGCTTGGCACATGGTAAACACTGTCAAAAAAAACATAGAAAGGAAGGAAGGAAGGGAGGGAGGGAGAGAAAAGAGAGAGTGAGCAGGCAAGCAGGTCTTACTCAAATACACATGCATATGCAAATGAAAAAGTGCAATGAGAAAAGAATAAGCAAAGGTGTTACAAAAACCTGTAAGAACTAAATGGGAATAAATGGCTATATGAAGTCTGATCAGAAGGCAAATAAGATATTAACAAATTTAAGATAGATGTCACATTATGAAGCATCCCACCTCAGTTTGTGATAGTAAACCATACCTCCTAAAACAAATCACAGAGACTATGACCTCAGATTCATCATCCACCCTCAGAGCTCTGTACCCTTCTTTGCTCAAGGTTGGGCTGGGAACTCCCTCCAAGGTCAGCTCCACTTGTCCAGAACCCCCACGTGGCTCTCTACCACCATCTCTTCTGAGTGTATGCAGGTGAAGAAAAGGCACTCAGTACCTGGTAAGCTATTTCCTCACAAGTGGCCGATGATGACTGTGGGGTGTGGCTCACCAATATAACTTGTGGTGAGCCTGATCCTCCTTGGCCTGAGAGAGAGGGATCCGTGAGCAATGCTGGGAATTGTTGACCCTGGCAAAAGATAGTTATTGTTTTAGAAGTTATGGCATTATCAAATCAAGTAGTAAAAGGTCTATGGCACAGCCACTCTGGAAAGCAAGATACACCATACTACGCAGCAACCAAAGAGAAATGGACCTAGGTCCACTCAAAATTTGGTAGGAAGAAACATCATAGCAGTACTACTTGTAACAGCCAAAAAGTGGGAACAGCCCACAGGCCTATCAACTGATGAACACATAAATGGACTGTGGCATGTCCATGCCAATAAATATTACTGTGATGTATCATATAAAGCAATATTAGTTGGCAATAAAAAGAAATGAAGCACTGATTGGTACATGCTACAACATGAATGAATCTTGAAAACACCAGGCCAAGTGGAAAAGGTTAGTCACAAAACACATGTTGTATGATTCCATTTATATAAAATATCCAGAACAGACAAACCAGTAGGGACCGAAAAGAGATTAACTATTGCCAAGGGCTGAAGGTACAAGAGAGGGATAAGGATAGGCTTGGGGTGGGGAGAATATAGATGTGACTGCCAATGATACCAGGCTTCTCTCAGGGCTGGGTGCAATGTTCTAAAATTAGATTGATGCACAAGTCTGTAAAAATACTAACAACCATTAAATTGGACACTTTATTTTCATGTGCGGTTATAATGTAATGTATTCACCAAATTCCCTGATGGATATTTGAAATGCTTCCATTTTTGAAAATTATTACAAACACTATGGTAAACATTCTTAGACACATTATCTTTGTGAACCTGTGTGGATATTTCTTTTTTTAAATTAGCATATAATAACTAAGTATTTATGGGATACTTGACAGGCCAGCAGTTGCATCAGAGACAAGGGAGAAGAAGGCATGATGGATAGCACAAATTTCAGCCCACTCACTAGGACTGAGACCATAGGTTTGCCACTGCTAGCCTATAAAATAGAAAGTCTTTGCCACCTACTGTTCCAACAAAGAATATAAAAAATGCAAAAAAATCAAATAACTCAATAAATGGGTAAATGAATTGAACAGACACATCTTAAAAGAAGTACAAACGGCTAAGTATATGAAAAAATGTTCAAAATCTTTAACTATTTGGGAAATGAAAATCAAAACTATAATGAGATCCTATCTCACCCTGGTCAGAAAAGCAATTATCCAGAATACAAAGGACAATAAATACTGGTAAGAATACAGAAAAAAAGGCATCCTTGAACACAGCTGCTAGTAATGTAAATTAGTACACTCACTGTGGAAATCAGTATGGAGGTTCCTCAAAACACTAAAAATAGAGCTTCCATATGACTTATAAACACCTCTCTTGGTACATACCAGAAGGAATTAAAGTCAGCATATATAGGGATACCAAGCTTATTACACCACAATTCACAATAGCCAAGCTACAGAACCAGCTGAGGTGCTCATCACAGAAGAATGGATTTTTTAAAAACTGTATATGTACACAATAGAGTATCATTTAACTATAAAAAAGAATGAAATTATATCATTTGCAGGAAAATAGACGGACCTGGAAATCATGTTAAGCAAAGTAAGTCCAGCCCCAAAAGACAAATATCAAATGTTATACCTAACATGTGGAATCTAAAATAGATAACATGAAAGAAGGAAGACTATTATTAAACAAAAGGAAGAGAAAAGAGAATAAAGGGGTATAAGGGAGGGTAATGTGAGGATGGATATGATCAAAATATATACAGGTATAAAAAATGTTGTTTATTTATTTTGTACCAGAGATCGAACTCGGGACCTTGTGCTTGCAAGGCAGACAGTGGCACCACTGAGGTAAATCCCCCACCCTAAAAAATGTTAATTGTTAACTACAGGCTAAAAACAACATTATTTTGAATGTTTAAGGTTAAACAGGATGCATTAAAAATAAATAAATAAAAATTTTAAATTAAATTTAAAAAACAAAACTATCAGTCATAAATCAACCTAATTTACTACTCCCACATACAATTTCCTCAGAAATACTGCTATTTAACAAAAATAAAAGAGAAAGAAATACTGCTATTTGCAGTTAATAATTTCACTGCCTTACACAACTCTTTTTCTGGGGCGGGGGGGACGAACAGCAATTTATTCTCCTGACACTGTTCGACAATCACAAAGGAAAGAGGTAAGGCTTTTATACATACAGGAAAACAGCTTAGTTGTTCTGGCTATTGTTTTTTGGTTTTAACATCTGGTGATAACAAGTGACTCTAAGTGACTAATAAAAGCTACAGGCAAATTTACAGGTCCCTTGTTTCCATTCACCAATCTGATCCATACATCTAAGAGCACACCGCAGCCCTCTTCTTATCAGATGGTATCAAGAAAGCAGGGCGACCTCAGCAGAAGTCAAGCCCACCAGCCCACTGCAAACATCACAGATGTACATAGCGAACCCTGTCTCACCACCCATGGAGTCACTGGGTCGTGGTCCTCTGACCCTGGACAATGGTTACTAAGAAAGCTAGGAAAACATGCTTTTCTCCCGTAAAACTTTTACAACATCTCTTAAAGTTTCCTGTAATTCTTTTAACAAACAGACTTGTGGAAATTCCCAGAAATGACTTCCTAATTTTCTCAGTTAACAAACTTCTTGTGATCCTATTCCTACAGCTAGACAACTACAATTTCCCACAATTCCCCCTTTTTTATTTTATTTAGGCTAAATTTTTGATTATAATGTCAAGAAGATCAAGAGATGGGATCTTGAAAGGCCAAGAAGGTAGACATCTTATGCTGGCTCAATTTGATGTTTGGTCCTTCTATAATTTTATAAAACAGCAAGAAATATAATAAAAGAGGAAATGATATTGAAAAAAAATCATCCTTAAATCCATTAATTATTGTATAAAGGGAATAGAGATGGTTTCTGTTTTTGTTTTAACATATAAGTAATTCCTTTTTTCGGGCACAATCCCATACAGTAAGGTAGGCATTGTATGCTGCAACACGGTAACAACAAACATATGGTAACAATTATGACTACAAGAAAAAGCTGTTTTAACCATTGCATATTAGGCAACCATTGGGTTAACCACTGAAACAAATCTCATCCTAATTTTTCATTACATATTTTTTCTGTCAATTCTTCTAATTGTTTTATTTTTTCTTGAATCCCTGGGCTATTGTCAGTCATATTAAAACAATACATATTTTTTATTTTTTCACATCCTTGATGATGGAACAAGAGTAAGTAATCTATTGCTGCCCTGTTGTCTAGTATAGCCTGTCAGTGTTCTTGTAACTCTTGATTAATTAATGCCAAAGCAGATGAGGTAGCATTTAGACCTTTGACCACCTTGCATGCCAATTTTTGTACCGCCTTTTCTGCATGAATTCCTATGGCAGGCTGAGCAAGCATAGATACTATCATAGGTATCACTTGAGCATGTCAAGAGACCTACACCACCATCACATCCTGGTTCAGTATAGGGTGACCAATGTTAATTTTGGGGGCACTATCAAATCAGTTCGATCTGGCAATATTATGGCTAAGTGACTTAGGCAGCAGCGAGTCTCAGACAAGTAGGCAGGGATATAATTAAACGTTACTCCTCCACAGGTATAAAACCATCCTGATGGTAAAGACACATGACCATCACTATATATGATTTCTTTTTCCTCATAACAGGTCATTTTTTCTACCTTTTGTAATCTTAGACATTTTGTAGTACAATTTTTATATATAGCACATTGTGTATTGTTTAACATAATCATCTGAGGTGTATATAACTTAATAGCATTTTTCGGTTTAGAATAAGAGGGGGTCCCCCAATTGTAACTATCTTCATATGTAAGATTTTTTCCTGGGATATCTTTAAATAGGGTATAAGATTGTATCAGACTTAAGGGAGTGCACACCAGGACGACACAACTCCCCAATATATAATGTAAATTTACATCTACAGTTAAACAGAACTCGGACAAATTAAGTGATTGTGCCAGCTGAATCCAAACATTACCAGCAAGGTCTAATTGTTTTTGGGGTAATACTGCCAATGTTCCAGAAAATAATGACTTAGAAATAATGATCATAATAAATGTCAAATTATGGGTCAATATAGCAAACATTATCATTCCTAACAAAAGGAATCCATCAGTTTCCCTTTTTACCTCTTGGATTTTATAAAATTTTTTGCTTGAATCTAAGAACATTTTGTTAGAATAGAGAGGGAGAGTCCAAAAGGAATCATGAATATATATTATAGGTTTTACATTTATCCAATCTTTAATTATAATAGTACTAGTACCATTTTGAGGGGCCCAATAATCATAATCCAACATACTTACACCTACCTAAGCAGTAGATGAATTTTTTTTTTTTTTTTGTACCGGGGATCGAACTCAAGACCTTGAGCTTTCGAGGCAGGCAGCGGAACCACTGAGCTAAATCCCCGGCCCCTAGCAGTAGATGAATTTAATAGAGATATCATAGTAAGGAAGAAAAGTACTGAGCATCTAGGCTCGGGGGGGCTGGGCCCATAGATGACATGTAGTCTCGAGCCTCTGTTAGCAGATTAGTTAACATATCCCAATTAGGGAGTCTGGAATGGTATTTAGCATGAGACATTTTCTTTCTTTTTCTCTTTGGTTTAAGAGAGAGCTTTCTAATTTTTCGAACGACCTCCTCTTCCGATCTTTCTGGACGAGTGCTTAAAGGTCATTTATGCACTATTTGTTCTTGGAGACCCATTGTCCAGGTTAATGTCTTGACTCCAGAATTTAATTCTTCGTTCAGGAAGCCAGATTTGGGTCGTTCCGCCATCTCCACTGAAAGGATTCGAAGTCCCTGTTCGGGTGCCACTTGTCAGTGGTCTCTCTAGAGGGAGACTGGAGACCCTGGAGAGCACCAACCTCTGACCAGTAATCTTGGTGGAAGACCTCCAAAATGATATAGGGGGAAGAGATGCAACTCCCAAACCTATTAGATATCCGAAACGTGAGTTCGTATTCTCTAAAATCGAAGAACAAATTCTAGGAACAGTGGA